CATTGATTTCACTTTCTTTTGTGCAGATTCAATCAAGGATTCAATTCCAACACGATTCAAAAACCAGATCACCACACCATAATCCAGTACTTCCAATAACAAGACTAAACCCACTTAAAATTTACTATTTCCAATCTTGTTTCTATTGTGCAGGCACATGAACAAGCAAGAAAAGATTCAGATTCCCTCAAGGATCAAATCCTTATACTCTAAAAAAACAGAACACTGATCAGCAATTGACTAATAATCAAGCATCGTATACACTAAGAATCATGTTTCTATGCCAAAAATGGTACAAACTCAGGTAGAGTCAGAACAATATTACTAATCTAGCTACTGACATATACAATTACCTTCTGGTAAGAAGAACTCGAGCGAAGGAAGACCAGAAGGGTAGAGAAACCCTAAACATACTCATATTAGAGCATACTGTGATATAATATTTGAAGGGATCATAATCATACTGTAGCATGTGATGGGAGAATTAAACCTCCAGGCTTCAACCAGCGATCTCTAGCTGTAATAACACTTCCCAGCATACTCTACATCACATAAAAAAAACATAATGCGAGAATGAGAGGCCAGAGAGAATTAAGGAAAAAATAATAATTACGTAGGTTATCATTTGGACATCAACATAATATATATACAAGATAAGGAAATAAACTCATACAAGAGCATGTAACCCATCCACTCTGAAATAATAACATCGACCTCCTCGTCAATTTCAACATCCTGAAGAACATCCCAACAAAGTAAGAATTACTACAGATAAATGAGGGCTTGCATACAAACTTAGATGTTTCACCAACCAAGCTAGCACAATAGCACTGTAGAGGTACAGACTATCCCAAATTCCCCATTACATTCATTTATATCGCACCATTCTTAACAAGGACACTTTATGCAACTTATATAGACATCAAAATTATGCTTATGCATATCCAATATAGCATGCAGGATCAACTCGGCATTTATCATAGACAAGATTTACCCCCACTCTCCCATGCAAAACAATGACCTTGTCAGATAAGCCGTTGGCTTTCACAACTTCCTTCGCCTGGTGGTATTAGGAAAAAAAAAGGGGTGAATAGAAGCCATTGTGCAAATTAAGGCTCACAAAACCACTTCAATTTTAATAGGGAACACAAACCAAATGAAAACTATATGCAGAGCTAAACACCAGATTAGATCAGCTTCACAAGACCAATATTTCAGAACCATTATCAGAAATTTCTTCCTTGATTCGATTGATGTCAAGGGTGATACAAACCATGAAGCAATGTAGAGTTTTAGATTAAAATTAAATGATACAAATTAAGTCCGGGTCAGGGTCAAGTTAACTGTGAAGCGTAGTCCTCATTTTAGACAATAAGACAAACTATCATCACACCCTAAACATACTCCACCAAAGGCAACATGCAACAGATCATATCAAAGAGCTGCTTTTTCTATTCTAAGTCCAAATATTAAAACTTAGAACACATGTAACATAACAAATGCACAACATTCGTTGTCGGCTTTGTCAGAAACCGATTCATCAACGAAGCTCCAGACCTGATTAGGGTTTTGGCCGCCACTTCTCCGAGATTGCAATTGCTCTCACTAATCTTCTTCTCTCTTGGAAAATGGACGAGATGGAGAAGACGATTACACATTTGGGCTTTGGGCCATTGGCCCATTTTAATACATTGTTCATGGTCTCTAACTGTTGTTGCAGCATCGCGTAGATCATCTGGCTCGACGGGTGAGACGAGTCAGCGACCGCGAAGGAATGAGCTTCTTGACCGATCAAGATCCAGCTCAAGGCATGTTCTTTCTTAACCCCTCGATCTCTCATCACCTCTCTAACTTCTGCAGCAGAAGAATTGACTCCAGACTCGTTGTAAATGTTGTGTAACAATAAGAAGATAGTATTAGGAGTCTTGTGGTGAATCAATCTCACAAGTGCTTTCTGCTTGGGAGAGAGACGACAGAATATTACTGAAGCACAGTCAACTGACAGGGCAAGAAACTGATACTTAATATCATCCTCCAAAGAATATGTCAGTGTCTTCCCATCAATGATCAAAGCAAACGCTGCATGTGGATCCTTCTCTAGTTTGATCATCTGTGAAGCATTTAGGATCAAATGCAATTTTGCACTCAAACGGTAATGTAGGTTTTTATAGTATTAATTAGCCTAATACATACAACCTCGGGGTCTTGGGATGATTAATTTCTCTTCATTTATTAGTGCTATGGATATTTGCTTCATACCCCTTTCTGCAGTAGCACCGACAAGAATCAATTCCTTCTCCATCATATCAGATAACTTTTCAAGCATTTCATCTCTGTCAGCTCCGACTGAAGTTTTGGCTTTGTGAAATTCACTGTTCCATACCGAATACTCAGTCTCATCCAGCTTTCTATAACTAAGCGCCAGCGTGCGTAAACCTGCTTCACCATATCCATTCAAATGCTTGGAAGTGGCTTCTAGATGAGTTTTTCCGTTCTTGGATAACCGGTCAAAAATTATGCTGCAAAATTAGAAGATAAAGCATTGAAATTTACTTTAGAAGAACTGATACGCTCTATGGAACTGCTTGAAGTTATGTGGCCAACCTGTCAGCACCTTTACAGAGTAGAAGAAGCTGCCCTTTCTCATCACGGACGATAACTGACATTCTTTTTCTTTTGCTAGTGAAGTCCAAAACATTTAGAACTTTGTATTCTCTGTGGAATATGCGGCACATATATAAGTCAAAGATTAGCACTTAGCAGACATGTGTTCAATGTTTTGTCAATGTCAAAGAAACAAACAATCACGAAAATAGAAAAATTATCGGTGGTGTGACTGGTGTTGGCGGAAGAGCGACGGCGGATGAAGATCGAAATTTTGATTGGGATTTTGATTTGTTTCCTTTGTAAATTTTCAAGTTTATTTATAAGCTAACAAATATTGCATTTAATTATTTTTCGATCTATGATTAAGAATTTTTTCTAGATTTCCTTTCTCATCAGAACCTCGAATTAGTTTTAAATCTAAATTCCAAAAAACTCAAAACGAAGTACTCATCCAAGTATCGAACCCGGGTGTAACAACGAAACTTACCTACTGAATATGTCACTACTACCACTAAGATACAACAAATTTTCGAAAATAAGAAGCCTCTAAAATTTTATATATTTTGGGGGTCCTAGGCAAATGCTTTTTTTTTTTTTAACTCATCAAGCACGGGCCTGTCTCCAACCCTCAGGTTGGTAATTAGCATAATGAGGAGAGAGGTGAGGAATTGAAGAAATGGTAGGGACTTGGATTGTTTCACATGGCTCACATCCATAACAATTCTTCTCACAACTTGGTGGTTTTGATTCTTCTTCCTTTCTCCATTTCTCCTATCTCCTTATCCTCATTGGGCTTCAAATTGAGCCTCATATAGTTGTGTTCTTGTGCAGCTTGTGGGCTTATTATCTCTACAAGCCCAATAATAATTATTATTATTGT